CAGAGCTAGCTTAATTTGAGGCATAGAAATGAGCCCATTTTCAATATATTAATCTGTGGAATAATTAAAAAGCAAAGGAGAAAACTTTAGTTCATGACTGACAGAGCTGCAGTGCGGAAATTAAGTTTGATACATTAAAAAGCCACTAAATCTGAGCCAGTGTCACCAAAATACCTGTGACTGTGAGGAAATAATCTAATAGCATACGAAACAGGTCTCCCTCTGGTTTTTTTTTCCCCTCACAAATTTAATAAGATGGAACAGTTCCTTTATTTACAGGTCTCCATGCTTTAGCAGTCTGCTATCCCCCTGTCACGTCTCGTTAGGATGCAAGCAAAAAAATCAAATGGGAAAGGGGTTTCAAATAAATATTTCATTAAGGAGAGCACAGCAGTAGTCAGAGGAGGAAGTCTGTACACAGAGCAAGTTCTGCATTTAGGAAAAAAAGGAAGTTAGTGGCCACACGTGTTCAGTGGCACAGCTGACCCAGGCAGGTGACAGTAAGTGAATTTGTCTGCTCCCACACATCCCTCCTCAGCATCCAGGAGGAAACACAGGAATAAATTGCAGTTCAATTGCAGGTGATGAATTCCCAGCTGAGGAGAGGGGAGCAGAGCAGAATCTAACAAACACTTCCAATAAACAGCAACGAAACATCCAGGAGAGAACGGCAGCACCGAGCCTTCCTCTTTCCTTTGTGTCACACAAATAATTGCACGCTCTGAAGGACATTTCCAGAGAGCTTCAGCAATTCCAGAGACACGAGGGGCTCAAATTTCCCTGTGCTGATCCCAGACTGAATATCAGGCAGGTACCACAATCAGCAGTTCTCCCTACAACCCATCTATAATGTAGACATTGGCTAACTGGGTATTTTGAAGCTAAAAAGTACAATTCTATTAATTTTTAAAAGATCATATAATTTATTTTTATTCTGCTACTTAATCTTTGAAGTGTTTTCTTGTCCTGAAGGAACATTATACAATGTATTACACTTCATATTTTCTTCCAACTTCCATTCTAATCTTTGCTAATCCATCCAAACTCAACCTAAACTGCTGATAAAAGCTTCTGCTTTGAAGGAAACATCAAATAGTACAGCAATTAGTATGTAAAACAAGATTATTTCAGTGGATCAGCCTGCAGTTGCTATCCCATAAATCACTCCTAACCAGAGCACACGGGCACATTGATCCACACACATCAAAGGTGTGATGTAAATATTCCATAGGCAGGAAGAGATGGCTGGGTTATCCAGGGAAATACCTGTTACCATGGCCTCAGCAGGGACACGTGCAGCACTGCCCTCTGGAAAGCTGAAAAGTTAAAATCCTGCACTGGGACTGCAGAGAAACCCCAAAACCCATCAGCCCCAACCTCTGGCCCCTGGAGAGAGGAAGGGCAGGACCACTGCACACCAGGACTCATAAAATCAGTGCCTTCCCAAAAACCCTTTCCATTTCTGATTTTGTGTGCTGTAAACTGAGGTTGTGGCCCTCACTTATTTTACCCCATCCTTCAGAGATTTCACCAGCCACCAGCACAGTATTTGCAGAAAGCCATCTGCAGCATCAGAAAGGTCTCCTGAAGATGCTTCTCCCCTCTGATATAACTGTATTTACTATCACATCAAATGAAATATAAATCTGCACAGTAGAGATTCTTGTGTTCCAGTCTGTGGGTAATATCTTTGGGGTCAATAATCAATAAAAGCTTAAATAAAAGCAATGAACTCTACTCCAGCAGTATTTAGATGTCTAAGCAATGGCAGAGCAGCACTTTCATAGATGTTAATTTATAATTCAGAAAATATTCCTTCTTAATTGAAAACTCAGAAAATATTCCTCCTTAATTTAAAATTCAAAAAAATAATAATTGAAAATTGAGAAAATATTCCCTCTTTCCCCACATCCCAGTGCTGCTGGATGCCAGGCTGCTCCTAAACTCTGCTCCCTGTGGATCTCAGAGCGCAGGGCTCAAGGGGAAAAGCGCTCTGGAAAGTGGGGATGAGCCCCAGGAATCTGCTGCCCTGAGATGGGCACAAACCAGCTCAAACCAGCTCCAGGCTGACAGCAAATTCCTCCCAGCTCTTGGAGGCTGGCACATGAGATCCTAGTTGGCAGGGAGAACAAATCTCCTGATGGAGAAAGATGGAAAGGTTTGGTAATGATTACGTGGGCCCTGGCTGATGGGTGCACACCTCCAGTGCTGCTCCAGCTCAGCTGTGCCAGCTTCCTCCTCTGGAGCTCAGGGAAAGCTCTGCCTGCTCTGCAGGAGCCCTGACTGTGTCCTGACCATGATAATTATGGATTTTATAAGAATTTCCTGCCGTGATCTGAAGGTGTAAGGGAATAAAGGCTGGCTGGTTTGCTTGGGGAGCACTGACTGAGACAGCAGAGCCTTCCTACAGTCTGTGGGGAGAGAGGAACACATTTAGTGACCTTCTGCAAGAACCTCTTTCCTACCACTGACTGTAGAAATAAACCCAGAGAGATCAGCTGAATGCATTTCCCATTCACCGGGAACAGCTGCTCTGCAAACATCATTTTAAAAGGTTAGATTAACTGGCTGACAGAGCATTGATTTAATGTGTTGTTTTTGGTTTTTTTCTAATTCCACACTTGTAGAAATGTTAAGAAACAAAACAAAGAGGGTGTAGGGAATGCACAGAGACAATAGAAATGACCAAAATAAGCATCACCTTTTCCTGACCGTGATTCACTCCTGCAGAACTGTGGGAACAACGTGGAGACGCCTCAGTGGTAATTGAGCTTTTAGAGGCCTTTAGAGCTGGTGACAGATTAATAGGTTGCTATCATAAATCCTGACATCCTTGCAATTTCTGTATTCCTGGATTTACACACAAACTGAACACTGTAAACACTTCAGGGCCTCAGCTGCAGCGTTACACATCTGCTAAGGCCACTGGTAACTTTATAAAATAACACCATGTCACAAAGCAAGGCAGCGTTCAGCAATTAAACTGAGTCCAGGCACCACAACGACTCCAACAGATAATTTTCCAAAGTAATTGCCTCGAGGAAACTCCAGCAACACTAAAAATCAGGTCTGTTGAAGACAACAGTGTAAAAGCAGTACTTTCATTGCCAGTACTATAAACACAAGAGACTTTAAAGGAGTTTGTTTCCTGATTATTAAGTTCCATGCTGTGTAAAGCAATTATTACAGCTCTCAGTTTCCCAATCTTTGTGTTTATTAAAACTAATGAACGCTTTTAGCATACAGGAGAGTAAATAAATTTGCATAGGATTATAACAGGCAGCCTATACTCATCCCTGTAGGCTTAAACACTAATGGTAAAAGAAACATTTACCCAGTAAATAAGCAAGCTGAAACCTGAACTCCTCCTCTTTTGCCAGGAGTTGAGTTGGAGTGGGCTGCAAAACTCCTCTGAGCACAGAGAGATTGGTTATTCAGGGCAGTGCCAAGGTCACTCCTGGACAATCCAACACTTGCCAGTGATGCAGTTACAAGAAATCAGCTTTGACTTCAATAAAACACCTGGATTGTCCTGCTTCAGCTCAGTCACTTCCCTAAGCACTGCCCTGTGCTGTGACGAGCTATTCATCCACCCCTTTATGATGGAGAAGGTAAAAATGAGAGCAATGAAAAGTGGAAAGTTCTGTGGGGTTCTGTGCTGTTCACAGTCTGAGGCACAGCCCCAGGGAGTTCAGTCCCACAACAGATGAGAAATTACATCCTTCCCCAAATGTTTTGTTGAATTCCTCATGAGCCTCAGTGAGATTCCCTCCATATTTGAATCCTGCAGCTTCCTCTTCTTGGTGTCCTCTGCTCCTCTTCCTCCTCACTCTCTGTTCCAGGGTGTTTAAAAATCTGACTTTCACTGCAAGCTGAAGAACAGGGAGACAACTTCTCACTCTTACAGCCAGCCTTCTTCTTCCTGTTTCTGCAGCCTGGAAGGGAGTTTAGTTTGGTACTCAGATACTCAAATCCATACAAGTGTAACCATAGTGTTACTCTGTGAGCACAGAGATGATCCTGTAGGCTCTCCTGTGCTTAAAGCCAGGTAATTCCACAAAACAAGGTTTTATTTATCTAAAATTAAGATGAAAGCTAAACACTGGCTGCAGCTCTGACAGTGGAACGTTGTTGTCTCATTTTAAACACCCAGCTTGGTGAGCTGGAACAAAACCCCCTCAGAGCTGCCTGTTTGGAGGGGCTGAATAATTGAAGAGCAGTGCAAAAAGCTGGAAAGATCCTGCTTTTTACTCAGTAACTACAGCAGGTTTGCTTTTTCCAGTATCTTATGAGATTTATGAACTCTTCAAAATGGGATACTTGCTCATTTAAAGTAATTTTACAAACTCTGTTCCGAGCTATTACCAAATGTGTTCAGAGCAGCTTCCCACTCTGCTCTCCCACTGCAGGCACTGTGGTGAAAGGAAAATAGAGGAAGAGTTGTTAGTTCCTCTTGTCAGCCTGAAAAGGACTGGTTCTCAGTTGATCACACAGATATTTTTAACATTTTCTTGTAGATTTAAAAAAAAAAATAAAATCTTTATTTTGAGAAGTCAAAAAGAAATTTGTGTATGAACCGCGTTATTAGAAGAATAAGCCACCTTTAGGATAGGTGGGGAGTGATGTTTCCTGACAAATCTCCCGTGGATGAACACTTTGCAGGCACAAACACAGATTTATTGGAAATCATTGGCTCCATCTTGTTGCTTTTGAAGTGAGCTGAAGCTCTGCTATTCTCTTGAATAACAGCACAGCCAGTTTCTCAGTCAGACTCTTGTCCTAAATACATTTATGTGGCACTCTGCATGTAAGAGCAAATACAGAAAAGAAACAAAACAAACCCCAAGACACAGGACTACCTTCATTCCCATCATAAATCAGTTTGTCCTTGCTATAGTGGAATTATTGAGCACAGAATCCAGGGCATGTATTTTATTTTTACCTAACATTTGAACAGATTAAAGAGAAAAAAAAAAAAAAAGAAAGAGGATCAGATTGACTTGGATCAAATTGACTTTCTATCTTTTATTAGCTTTTCTTTTTGCTCAGAGAAAAAAAATTACAATTACTGAAGTGCAATTAGGCTCTTTCAATCTCCAGTTTTCTAATAATAACATTCAGTTTTCAGTAATAAACGTTTTCAAGAATAAACATCCACAGTGGCAAGGCAGATTCCAGGGAAGAGGGGCTGGAATTTGGGAAGAGAGAACTCTGCAGCCCTGTGCAGAAAGGTCTCAAACCCTCAGGCTGAGCTGAGATGGGGCTGCTGAACCCATGGAGAAGGTCCCAGGTGAGTCAGGGCAGGGCCACTGATGTCTTGTGGTGCCCTCAGGTCCTGACAGACAGAGATGTGTTTTCATTTTCCAAGCAGCAGCTGAAGCAGACAGTAAGTTTTCCCTAGGGAAAAAATAAAATAAATAAAAAAAGAAGCAGTAGAAGGTTTCAAAAGAAATGTCTTACTTGACAAAGCCTTACAAGCTGCACCACAGAGGTTTCTGGGGATGAACAACACTTGTAGCTGCTTTTTATGGCCGTGGGTCATGCAAGAGAGCTCTGTTCTTGCAGGAATCCTAGCCAAGGACAATCTGAGAGTGCTGTCAAAATGGAAAGAACAGAAGAATTTCTACATAGGGTTCTAAAAGGGAATTGCTCCTGAGAAATGCTGACCATTTGCAGGCAGGTTGGAGCCTTCATCGTCCATCACCACTCTCCCCTTGTGCTAACATCTCTATCTCAGGCTTCTTGAATTTCTGAATCAGAAACTGAGCTGGTCCATAAGGATTTCAATGAATAGAAAGATTAACTAGACTCATTTTAGCACAATTCTAGGGCCTATGCCAACCAAATCTGCATCAGATTGTGAAGAAGTTTATTGTAGAATCATACATCGAACAAACACAGCAGATTTAAGATCATTATTAAACATACAGAAAGAAAAGTTAATTTTCTAGCTCTCCTTAGCTAAAAGAAATAAAGTCTATCCACCTCTTTTTATGAAGCATGGCCAAAACTGTTTTATTTTAGTTTTCAAATGGCAAAAGTTGTACTTGTCTAATGGATGCCTATTTAAAACTGCAGAATTGCTACAAAGGATGCATATAGAAATATTATGATGATTTTTGGTGGAAGTTTTTACCTACTCCTTTGTCTCCAAAGACATTACCCTGGGAATCTGACATAGACAGAGGCTCTTTCCTGGAGAGGTGAAGGAGAAAGACTGACCAAACAACTTTGAAGGCTTTTTATTTAGTTGAAAATTAAGTTCTAAAGGTGGGAAGGGAATTTCTGGAGCTTAATTCATTACCAGTGAGATTCAAATGTTTTTTAAATAGTCTTTTTAATGTATTTTAATGTTTCTGAGTCATGTTTTCCCTCACTTAAGGGTATAAGAGTTTATCATATAACCCTCAGCTTCCTAGGACTATACTGCTCACAGTTTTTTCTCTTTTGGGACAAAATTCCTTAGGAATCTCTAGCATATTGCTCTAAAATTGTAACTAGGCAGTGTTCTCTTTATGTCTCTTCACTGACAAAGGGGGCTTGATTCTCTCCTCAATTCTTATTTCAAACATTGATAATCACAATTCCCTGTGTTTTTAAGGACAATTGCTGCTCAATTCTAATCTCACTGGCATCAACATGACCCATGTGTTTTGCTGGTTTAATGTCTAAAGGAGGCAAATCCTGAATGTCCAGAGGATTGTTACCTTTGCCAGCCTGATGGGAGCAGGGTGGAGATGTTAAACTTCATTCACAAAAGGTCCTGACACACTTGAGAGGACCTTGGGCTCATGATGAGTTTTTTTGCTACAGGGCCTAAAGAACAGGCCGTGCTCAGGTCTGTGACCTCAAAATTGCACAACCAAATTTGTGTTGTTTCCTGCAGTTGTTTCAGAGCAAAAACTGCAGCAGGGCTGGCCTGGACTCCCTGGGATTGTGACTCCTGTTCCTGAAAGTATCAGCAGAATTCCAGGAGCCACAGCCTCCTCAGGACATGGGGAAGCTGCCCAGGAAATCAGATTTGTTCCCTGGCGTGCACCAAGCCAGTAATGCCACACTTGAGACACACATGAATTCTTTATTTCAGCGTTGTGCAAGCCTGGGTGCCCAGTGGTGTCCCACAAACCCAGCACAGCCCAGTGGAGCCACAGGGGAGAAAGATACAGAGGACAGAGTAAGGATGTAAAGTGAGACAGGGGAGATTCAAATCAGGTATTTGAAAAAAACAAATTATTCACTGGTTGTGAGGTCAGGCACTGGGACAGGCTGCCCAGGAGGTGCTGGAGTCACCGTCCCTGGAGATGCTCGGGTGTCCGGATCTGGCATTTGTTGCTATGGTTCAGGGTTACAGTGGCAGCGCTGGATGAACACTTGGACTGGATGATGCTAAAGGTCTCTTCTTGATGATTCATGGAATCACAAAAGCAACTAGGTTAGAAAAGCCCTCTGAGATCATCAAGTTCAATTTGCGCAGAACACCAACTTCTCAACCAAGTGCCACTTCCAGGGAGGGGACTCCACCGCCTCCCCGGCCAGCCCAATGTCTGGCCACCCTTTCTGTGAGGAAATTCCCCCTAACGTCCAACCCGGCCGTCCCCTGGCGCAGCCTGGCACCGTGTCCGATGTGTCCCCGCGGTTCCAAAGTGCAGCACGGTGCATTCCGAGGGCAGGGCGGTGCCGGGAGAGCTCCGGGCCGTGAGGAGGGGCAGCGACAGCTGAGCGGCACGCTCAACATGGCGGCCGACACACCCCTCACACACCCCCCTGCTATCATCACTTTTCATTGGCTGGATGCGATGTCAGTCTTTGTCCGCAGCCAATCAGCGCTCGCGGAGCGGCGCGGCGGGCGGGGCCGCGGCCTGCGGCGGTGNACCCGCCTGGCCCGAGACTTCGGCGTGGAGCACGGGCGGGTGGCCGAGGCCGCCGCCAAGGTGCTGCAGGCCCGCGAGCAGCGCAGGGAGCCCGGGGCGCTGCTGCAGGCCGAGGACCGGCTCCGTTACTACCTGAACCCCCAGTACCGAGGGCTCTTCGCTCACCTGGGCCGGCTGGAGGGCGGGCTGCGCTTCCTCGTGGAGCTCAGGGCCGACCTGATGGAGGGGCTGGCCAGCAAAGCGGTGGATGGGCCCCACGTCAAGGTGAGGGCTGGCCTGGGTGGCTCTAAGGGACAGTCGGGGGATGTGGTTTGGGGTTTTATTGCTCGTGGTGCAGCCACGTTAGGCTGGGATCCAGGTCACTGTTGGGTTCTTTATGGGTCCCTCAGTTCAGGAAGGACATGGAAGTGCTGGAGTGGGTTCAGGGAAAGGGAAAGGTCTAGAGGACAAGTCCGATGAAGAGTAGCTGAGAGAGCTGGGAAGGGGCTCAGCCTGGAGCAAAGGAGGCTCAGGGGGAGTTTCTGGCTCTGCACAAGTCCCTGACAGGAGGGGACAGCCGGGGGGGATCGGGCTCTGCTCCCAGGAACAGGGACAGGAGGAGAGGGAACGGCCTCAGTCTGGGCCAGGGCAGGCTCAGGTTGGACAGCAGTAAGAATTCCTTCACATTAAAGGGTGATTAATCATTGGAACAGACCCAGAGAAGTGGTGGAGTCCCCATCCTTGGAGGTGATCAAGAAGCCTCTTCTTATGGCACTTGGTGCCATGGTCTGGTTGACAAGGTGGTGATGGGTCAGAGATCGGACTCAATGATCCCAGATGTCTTTTCCAACATAAATGATTCCATGATTCTCTGGAGAGACACGAGTGAACCCCTTCCCCAGGCCATGGCAGCATTGAGAGCTGCCTGTGCTGACACTTGGGAAGGAAGTGGCCCCTGCTATGAAGCAATGGGCTTTCCAGCATGGCACTGGGAACTTCTGGCATATAATACACTGTTTTAAAAGTTATTTTACAGCAAAGCTGTGCTTGATTAGTTTTTATGATGCTATTTCAATTTTTGTCCTCTCTCATGTTCTTTTTTTTCCACAGGACACTGATTTTCCACTGTCCTTATCATTTCTGATGAGCTCTTGCAATTCACAGAGGGAAATTTGCTGAAAATCTGTTTCATGGGTGCAGTTCTTCCTCTTGCTGTTCAGAACCCTCTCACCTGCAACACTTTACTTTTTCTGTGCCAGCATTTTCCTCTTGAGATTTGTTACATTTTGCTTGCTTACTTATATTCCAACCCTTGAAATATGACTCTGGTGAAAAATTCACAACATTATGATCTCAAGTAGCAAATCATCCAACGATTGCTTTTAAAATATTCTTCATCTTTACATATGATTTAGAAAAAGTCAGTGAAAAGTTCAAGTTGCTGACAACAGATAATGAAAAAGAGAGCATTTTTGTCAAATTGATTTATCTACAAAGCTGCTTCCATAATTAAGCAGTAGTTGGAGTGTATTTGTAATCTTGGTCTTGTGTTGATCTGCTGGAAAAAAAAAGCACCATCATTGTTAAAAGTTTTTCTATAAAAAGTGTTTGGTAGTTGCCTATCAAAAGTCCTGTGTAGCCATTTCATTAGTGCAGAGTTGATTTCAGTTCTAACATAAAGACAAATGTGCAACAAGAGTTTTATAACCTCTGTATATTTGTGTCTGCACTGACAAGAAAATGTGGGAATAAAATTAAATGGATCTCCTTGATGCTGGTGGAGAGCTACAGAATGCATTATGTGGCCTCCTGGGATTCTGGTTTTGCTCAAACTGTCTAAAATATTTCTTAGACAGTCCTTAGTCCATTTAGTTTGTAATTTGAAATACCTATTAAAACTGGTATTACCCATTGCTGTGTTGTAAATATGAAATATTTTTCTATTTCCTCAGCACTATCAGCATAAAAACAGCTTGGACTGCTCAGATATTGGGTGATGAAGGATTTCTATTTTGTGTTTGTTCAATAGATTGTAGTAAAATATCATATTTAAGTGATTAAGTCAATTGAAAGTGCTTGAGCACAATTTACTCATTGTCCAAATGAGCAGAAATGGGGGTGGGGAGGGGAAAGAAATAATGATTTTAAGGATGAGATGTCCCATAATATAAACCAATATCAATAAGAGCCAGGAGAGTTTTTAGCACTGCCATTATCACTGCAGTAATTACTATTAGCAATAAAAAATCAGAAACCTATAATTTGTGTCACTATTGAATCCTTGTGTTGCTGGTGGGGATATTTATCCATTATCTTATCAGAGATATTCTCTGTGTAGATTCTGAAGGTAATTTGTGGGGGAAAAAAAAAACCCAACAGAAAAAAAATCAACCCCACCAAAAACAAACTAAATCAACCCACCCAGCACAGGCACCTTCAAATCTACAATATCAGAGTAGATCTGTAAGTGCCAAATGAAGTAAATCAGGTTGAAAACTTCAAATATTCCAAAACCATGGGAAAACTCAACTCTTGTGAGTGGTATTTTATTTAGTAGCTCGAGAGGGAAAGAGAAATAGTTTCCTCATGAGTGAGGCATTTCTTCTTAATAAAAAATAATTAATTGGAGATTTTAATAAGAGTTTTCCCATTTGTTGCCCAAGAAATAGGTACTTGATATGAAGATTAAATAGGCTGTAATTTGCTGTCTCGTAGCAAGAGCACGGAACAGGAAAAAAATAACCACAATTTATTAGACTTGGCTAATAGAAATTGAAGTATAGCTGGTAATTTGAAATACTAATCTGAGTATGTCTTGTTGCTCAAATTTAAGACTGGGATGCTGAATAATGAATGTGCTTGCTTTTCTTTTTAATGAAGTGTTGCAGATGTAATTTTTATGACTAAAAAGGCCTCTGAAATGAAAATAAGAATTAAATTTACAAAATAAGAGAATCTGCCACTAAATCTGAAAAATAAGAAACCCAAACTTGAGCCTGTCCTTGTTGAAGCTTTTTGGAAATGTCCTGTATAATGAAATATTCAACACAAGTCAGAACCTTTTTTAGGTTGAATTGAATTAAACAGTTTTGGATAGTGAAAACTTCTATGTCTTTCTGCACTGAAAAGTTTTGTCAGCACAGCATTGTGGAATCCTGGGAAGGTTTGGGTTGAAGGGACCTTAAAGCCCATCCAGTTCCACCCCACACCATGGCCAGGGACACCTCCCACTGTCCCAGGCTGCTCCAAGCCCTGTCCAAGCTGGCCTTGGGCACTGCCAGGGATGGGGAGCCCACAGCCTCTCTGGGGAATCTGTGCCAGGGCCTCCCCATCCTCACAGGGAACAATTCATTCCTCATATCCCATCTCAACCTGCTCTCTTTCAATCTGAAGCCATTCTCCCCTGTCCTATTCCTTCAGGCCCAGTTGGGGTTGGACTCGATGATGGTGGCTGGTCCCTTCCACCTCGAGCCCTTCAAATTCCTGCACTGTTGTTTTTTAAAACCTTCTTATTCACAACTGACAGGTTGGTTGGGTTGTAATACCCCATAAACAATATTTCTTTCTCCCCAAATCATTACTGAAAGCACATCTGCTCCACCTTGTTCGGTTACAGCTGCATTGCTTCAGTCACACCCCGGGCCTTGCACAGTAGTGCTGTGATGGAAACAGGCTCCACTTCCATTGGCATCCCTTGCTGAACCTTCAGAGGAGCAAAGCTGCTGCAGTTTGGAGTGCTTCCCACTCTGTTTCCATGCAGGATGTGCTGTGTGAGCCTGCTTGCTGGCTCTGCCATCCTGTTCCCCCTCTGCCTGCTGTGATGCGGCTGAAATGCTGCTCAAAAGACACATGGATGGCAAGAGAGCCGTAAGAACCTGTTCCTCTGCCCCCACATCTGACAAATCCAGCTCCTTTTTCTGGTTTACAGTGTGCCCCTACAAAAGAAAACAAACCAAACAATCCTGGAGTGCCTGGAGACCTCCACTACACCATGGGATATTTGACTAAAGTGATTCATGGTTATTATGGCAAAACTTCAGAGCTGTGCAGAAAGGAGGATTCACAAGGGAGGGATCTTAAAGTCAGAATAAACAAACCAATCAGAATATATTTGTTTAGGAAAAAGGTATTGAAAAAAAATTGTCATGGAGGACTGAATTGTTCTATGCAGATGAATAACTGTTTCTTCTGGGTTTGAAATTGTTTGTTTTTTTCTAGTATGTTAAGAAATAAACCTGTCCTCTTATTCAGTTTTAGAATACTTGTAGCAGTTATTTTGGCCAGCAGAAACCTTTGATGTGTGTCTTTTGACAAGTGCCTCTGCAATTTTCATCTTGATGAGGCTATAATAGGAAATATTTTTGCTTTCTATGACAGTCCTGAGACTACATCTGAACTTAAGAAAAATATTTTAGATTTTCTGATTAGATTTATATCTTTTTCCAATTGTTTTTCTTTAATGTGGCAAGCTAAAGTACATTGGAACTTAATTTTTCTCTCTTATGTCCAGCAGTAACTATTTAATAAAGGTTTGAATAGAAGATGAAAAGTTTTGTTTTGAAATAAATGGTTATTAAGTTAGTTTCAGGCAAACCCATCTGATCAGGCTGTTGGTAAGTTGGTGCTGGTCTCACACTGTGCCTTGTGTACAAGGCAAATGGAAGAAAGAAAAATGAGCTCTGGAATCTCTTTTAGGGATAATCATGCTGTGCTGAGTTCAAGAATACTTGTTAAATTCAAATAAATTTAGACAGGAAATCTTTAATAATACAGGCAGCTGGAAAGTGGTATATAAAAATCACTATTGCAATGAATGTTTCTGAAAGGGTTTGACATTACAGTTGGGTTTCATCTCTCATACTGTTCCAAAGTTGATTTGATTTTTCAGTTCTGTAGTCTTATGCTGCTGGGTTTTATTTTTCTTGCTCAAATATTTTCATATTTTTAGAGAAGAAAAATTCTGTCTGCATCCCATTGAAAGGTATTTCCATGGTATTGAAATCTGGGCTACTGTGTAACTGAAGCCTGGTGGTCAAATCTGCTCAAAGCTTTCTCCCCATTGTGTGCTTTTTGTCCAGAGTGTTTTGCCTTCTTTTCCCTGTCCCTGCTTGCACTACAGACAGTCCCTTCAAGGATTTGCCTTGGTTCAGTCCTGGACTATTTCCTGATTAATCTTCTCAAGCAGATCCCTAAGGAGTCAGTCAAGGTTATCTTTACTCACATTTCCATGTTGTACCTTGCTTATTCAGCAGCCGGTTCCATCTCGGTTCTGTTGGCAGGAGATGAATGGAGTTCTCAAGAACATGCTCTCCGAGTGGTTCTGCACAGGATTCCTCAACCTGGAACGGCTCACATGGCAATCCCCTTGTGAAGTACTCCAGAAAATCAGTGAGTAAGTGTTAGAGGCTGGGAGGAATCCCTGATGAAGAGGAGATGGAATGCTTGAGACTGCAGAAATTCTGTGTTTTCAAGACTCTGCTTTTCTGAGCTGAAGGCAAAGTATGATCAGGAAATATTTGCATTAGCACGCTGTAGAACCCAATTTTAAAAACAGATTGAAGTAAATAATTAAGGGGATGATTTGTGCCATAGTTTGATCCTGTAGCTCCCACTCTGCACTGGTAGAGTGCTATCTTTCCTTCCAACTTTCTCAGTTACTCTTCCCACGTTCCCAGAGGTTCTGCAGTGGTTTTGGCTGGAACTGGTGAGGTGCAGAGGATCACCTGTAAAGTACATGTGAAGAGAGCACCTTGGTTTTTGTATCATGTGCTCTACAGTCCATCTCAATCTGATTTCTGAACCTACCACATTGATTTCTGAATTTCTGTCAAATGGTCAAAGTTGTGATGAAGTTGAAAACTACTGAATCATGTGCTGGGCCACCTTGTTGTATAAAATCTTGACAAAAAAATAATTTCTAGAATGTCATAAAAGTATGTTACGTGTTAATGAGGCAAAGACATCTTGGACAACCTGAATTTTCCAAATAAAAAGAATTAGTAACATTTAATTAATCTTCAAGGTAATTTGGCAAACACACTAATGAGTGGATATGCAATATTCCTTTACAATCCACTTTGTCACAGCTTGCTGACAATTTTACTTTGTTCACAGCCTGATTCTTTTTTTTTGATGAGAAAGTTTTGTCACTGACCTCAGTGGACTTGTAGGGCAGCGGACCTCTATTTTAAATTAAATAATAATAATGACACTGATAATGACAATGATGATGATGATAATAATAATGATAATAAATTCATAATAGTAGTAATTTTATTTTTACATTTTCTCCTTCAGTTCTGAAGCTGTGCATCCTGTCAGAAACTGGGTTGATATGAAGCGTCGAGTTGGGGCCTATAGAAGGTGCTACTTCTTTTCTCACTGTGCCATCCCAGGAGAGCCACTGATTGTCCTGCACGTGGCACTAACCAGTGACATCTCCAGCAGCATCCAGGTACAGCCACTCAAGCATTTGGTACACAGCAAAACGCCCAAATTGCAGTGGGCTTGTTTAAAAATCCACAATTCCCTGTCATTTGGCAATATTTGCTTTTGTTTTCATCTTTTAAGACAGGAGAGAATTGGCACATAAGAATTACAGGGATATTTTGTCTGTTTTGTATATTATGTAAATTGAAATTTTGAGGGTTTGCTCAAGAGCAAGAAGAATAAGAAAATATAAGAAATATATAGAGAAATAAGAAATATATAGAGAAAATGAAACTAAAATTTCAAAGTGGTTGCAATTACTTCTGAAAGCTTTAAACCATGTTACAGCTTTTTCCTCCACTTACTAATGAATAAGCAGCTCTTCCTACTTTTTCGTAGACTTTTATTGTCAATGAATAAAACAGTGGGGAAAAGTGTTAATGCATTTAAAAGTTAAAAAGAAAAACCTCCCTGTAATGATGATAGTAACTATTAGTAACATTTTTTATTTTTAATCCTTATTTTCCCAGGCCATAGTGAAAGAAGTGCCTCCTTTAGAGACAGAAGATCCAGACAAAATCACAACAGCAATTTTCTACTCCATCAGTTTGACTCAGCAGGGCCTGCAAGGGGTGGAACTTGGGACTCACCTCATCAAAAGAGTTGTCAGAGAGCTGCAGGTGGGTGTGGCAGGGGGGCTCAGGGTTTGTTTGCCCAGCAAAATGGTTTAGTTCATGTCACTGATCCGCCCAGGAGCTGCTGGGGCTTCCCCTTCACTTGGAACTTCTCCCCAGAGCAGCCTTTGGAGATGTGGAGAGCTGGAAGAGCATTTCCTGCTCTTGGTTGGTGTCTGCCAGATGTAGATTCTGTTCCACAGCTGACATGTTCTGTGTGAACTCCTTGTGTGGTTGCCTGAAGTCAAATGAGAACATTTCTGCTGGAGGTGGCTTTGAAACATCTGTTTTCTGCTCTGATACAATTCACTCTTGCCTCTCAGCTGAGTGGGAAGAGCCTGATCAAGATAGTCTCTCTTCAAAGTACCTGACAGTGCCTTTTCCAAAATCTTACAGCTGCTCCAGGAACCAAAACTCTTCCTGTTCATTAATTAGTTCATTGTTTTGTTTGTAATATTGAATTGCCACTGGTTATTTATGCAGTGTGCATGCCCTGAATACATCCATTGAGAAAAATAAAAAAAAAGAAAGATTTCTTTGCCCAGGTATGTCTTGCAATATAGTAAACAAAATGTCTTAAAAGAGTCTTTTACTTTCTGCCAGTCAGTTCTCTGAATTTAGATAATATCATTGCATGCTAAGGGATTATTGTTAATAGCTTTAGTATTTGGAGAACCTTCTTCCAAGCAACTGGAGAAAGGAATGAAAATTAATTTACAGAGTGGTGTGAAAGAGAGAATCACATTCCTGCTCTGAGCACATTATTTTATTTAATATAAGTCTTTACTGCTTAAATTGCTGACAAAGCTACCACTTAAAAGTAATGATCACTGCTTGTGTTTATATTCATTGTTTCACATCTGGATTAGTAACGATGTCTGGAAAACTGCCTGTGATTTAGAACTTCAATTCTACTTACAAAAATATCTTAAAATTGGATGCTCCAAAGCTCTACTGCCAGAAAGTGATAGATTATTTAATTGCTGAATCATAGCTGGCTGCCCTGAAGTTGTTTTTTTATTTTATTTTATTTTTAATGGATATTTTGGCTGAATTTTGTTGCTTCTTGCTTTTGGAATGGCTTTTAGATTAATTGTTGAAAGTGTAGTAGTCCAGGTATAATTAGGCCATGCCATCTGTCTGATCTTGACTGAGGGGAAATTGGAATAAATTCATGCAGTTATCTGCTTTCACATCTGAAAAATAATTCCTGGATAATTGAGTTGCTCTCATAAAATAACCCTATTGACATTGTATCTGTCCATCACTAACTGCTTGCAACACCAGCAAAGTTGTGAGTTCTAAAGGTAAACAGACACATCATGCTTAGATAACCTAATGCAAGTTGTAAAATTTGGTGTGTCCAGCAGAAGAGTGTGTTTTGTATTTATACTTATGGCAAAGTTTTTACATTGCAGTGTTTAAAACCCAGCCCTCTTCAGTGTTTATCACTGAAATCCTTTGCTGAGATACCTTTAAATACATTTTAATCATAAAATTAATCCCTCAATCTTAAACTACCTCTTTAATATTGAGAACTTGAGTGCTTGTCATGCAATTCCAAAGGTGGAGATCTTCCTTCTACTCAAATTTCCTGCACTTAAAGCTGTTGTGAAAAACGTGCTGGCAGGAAATCGTTGTGTGACAAATTGGACATGGGCTGAGGTGTTTATATATAGTCTGTGTGCATAGATTAAAAGTACAACAACCTCCATGCCTTGCCCCTACACCATTCCTGTTTGGAAGGGAACTGCTCTAGGGCTAAAGAAGACAGAAAGGATAATCCAGGAATATTTATCCATTGTGGATGTGGCTCTCTAATAGTTTTTTCTTCATTCTTTGATGTTAATATTTTTCTCTCTCCTGTTCTTTCCACTCCTTCATGCTTTCTCCGCCTTCATTCCAAAGTATTGTCCTCAAATTTGTCTTGAATGGTGCAAGAACCATCTCCCACTGCATGTTTCACATCTGTGAAGTGATCCTGAATCATTGTCCTGTGGTTCCTACAATCGTTTGATGCTCTTCTACAAGGCCTCCTCGCTGTGCCTCCCATCTCAGTGGACTTCACCCCTCAAAGGAGAGAAGCCCTCTGTATTTCAGCTTCAAAATACTTCCACTGTGGAATTTTTACAAAGTCAGGGTTGTTCAGGGCAAAGGCAGGGCATGCAGTGAGTAAATACTCCTGGCAGCCTGTTTTGCTTGGCTCCCAAAATTCTGGAAGTCCTTTTCCTGTAGATGAATTGCACACATGTGCTCTCTTTCTCTCTGCTCAGGTGCAAGCAAAGGACTTGCCAAGGTTGTCTCTATTCAGGTTGGACATAATTCCTGGGAGCAGCATTACAGTCACTTCAGGAGGGATAAATGGTGTACAGGAGTGCTGAGTGGACTTAGTGACAGCAGCTGAAACAATCCAGCCTCAGCAAAAAAATCCTGGGTCAAAAATTACATCTCATTAAGCCAGCCTCCAGCAGCTTTTGTAAAAACAGATGGGTGAGGTCTCTGATAGGAAAAGGATTTTTTATATCACCTTTACATGGCTTTGCAATAAACAAATCTTTTTTTCAAGTGCTGCTAAATCACCAAGTGTTCCAGGTTACAGAAGTGGAGACTTTCTTTAATTTAACTGGTAATGAAATGCATTGGGAAGAGGAGACCATTTGGAAGGGTCGAGGATTTTCTTTTTCATTTTATTTAAATTGATGATTAAGACACTTCTATAACTTGCCATTTGAGTTAACTTTGGTGGACATCTGTTTGATCTGCAGAATTCTGAGCTGTGCTGTCCCAAAGTGCTGCGAGCTCTCAGAACTTTTTATCCTCCAGTAAAAATCCTCTACCTGACCTGTACCTTAGTGTAACATGCTCTGACACTTCTACTTGTAAGTGCCACTATAACCTGCAAACTGAAATCCCAGCTGTCGATGAGGAAAACTCCAAATTGGACCTGCCATGAATGTGTATCATTAGGTCAGGAAAAGACATGCACAGAGTTAGGAGTGTGCTGAGAACCCCTCTGCATCGAAGCCTTCATCGGACAGGATTTCAAAAAAAGCTGCACTGAAACCCTGATCTAAACTAGAAAATGATGGCTGTAAATCCAGTTAGTACCATACTCCTTAATATATCATTAATACACAATTAAAATAGAATTGAATTTTTTATAAATCTTGCTAATCTGCCTGAACTGGTCACATACTCTGCTAAACATGAGCATGTTTTGGGCAGCACTTCTCACTTTCAGAGGATGCCAAGCACCAATTCCCTCCTGAAATATTCCTTGCATTGGGAAAACTGGTGAGGATTTCACACCCCAGTGCTGAGCATTGTTAGTTTGAGGCACTGGGTACAACTTGATGCTGCTTTTGGATCTCACTGATTTAAGCAGATGGAGGGTGGATGAAATTGAGGCACAAAATGGGGTCCTCAGTTTCTTCTGCAGTTGGAATCCTTAACCTTTACCTGGACATTAAGATTTGTCATTTGCCACAGGAATTGTTCTGTATAATTGGGTAAAGGTGGGGGATATTCTGGAGATCAGAGTTGGACCTGGTGTCTCCTACAGGGGGCATCCTGGGAGAAATTGTGATGCTCTCAGGAGCAGATTTTTCAGTTTTTGGCAGTTTCTTGACAAAAGTTTGCTTTACACAGATTACACAGATAATATAGAAGGGGTTTGTGTACAGGCTTCTGTTTTTTCTCAGCATATCCTGTTGGGATTATTTTGGGATGAATTCATTAGGCCAGTGATACCACTTTGATCCCAGTGCTCCCTGTACAAATCTGGGAATAGGCTGTGTAGGCATTCCCTGCAGTCTCTTGTTTATATTAATGTATATAAAGCAGGGAGCAGGCAACAAAAATGATCTCTTGTATTGCTGAAATTGAAGCTTGCTTTGTTCCCAGAAATGAATTGGACTTTGAAACTATTTCAGACAACTACAAAAAAACCAAACAAACCCCAAAGTGAGTGCAGGCAGATCATTTCTAGCAAGCTGATAGGTGCTGGTGAACGAGGAGGTGGATGGATTTCTCATTAGCCAGACATTTAATTCCCAGTGTGTTTATAGCCACTCTAAACAGTCTGTGGCTCTGCAGAAGGTACATGGTGACAATTCAGTCAGCAGATGACAGACACAGATAGCTGCACTGAAGCCTTTGAGAAAACTGCTTAGGATTTTATAGCCTGTGGCATTTGAGGGAGAAAACTGATAGCTGCTGTGGACTCAATAGAATGCTCAACAATTGGTGGCAGATTTTAGCTTTCTGCTTGGGCTGTTGATAATTGCTACCTTAATTTGATCTAGGTGACCTGGGGAGATCATAATTTCCAAAACAGGCTTTGATTTCATTGATGAAAAATGTGACCTTGGACTGCAGCTTTCAGAGTGCAAGACAGTTTCAGATAAGATATGGATAATGGGAGAAATCTGTGCTCCTCTGCAAGGGAAGAAAAAAGAAAACAACAACAAAAAGCAGCAATCAAACACAGAAATCTACCCCGAAGCAAAACTAGCAGCTGTTTCTTAATGGTGTGTGGGTTTCTGACAGGAAAGTAAATATTAATGTATCTCCACCAGTAGCCTTAGAAACCAGCACATCAATTTAGCAAAACATAAAAGTGCTCACTCTAGTGAATTTATTTATTTTTCCATGAGAAATGGATGCCTCAGATAAGCTTCTAAATAAAACTTCTATCAGATGTTTAGTAGTTGGTACTGTACCTTCAAGAGGGGGTCACTTTCCCATGTCTTATCTGTCCTGAGAAGTAAAAAACTCACGATTTCCCATTTTGTTTTTAATAGAGTAAGAGCTGGTAACCTCCTGTGAAGTCTTTGGGACTGTGTTGGTGAACAGATCACTCCTGAAAGCGGTGATAAGCAAGGAGCAGTCCCCAGCAATCCATGTCAGCTATTTATTTAATTAGGAACTTTGCAGTGTTTGTTATTACCACATGGAGAGGGAAGAAATAATTCATTCTCCCTTTTGTCATCGTGGGTGGTGCACAGGTGCCCTCGGGCTCTGCAGGCTGGGAGATGAGATTGGAGTTGTTACCCTATGGAAGCAACAGACACAGCTCAGCTCCCGAGTGAGAACCTTGTCAGTTCCGTTCAGGAGAAAAACAGAAGGTGTAAGAGATGTCAGTAAAGAAAGTTCTTTATTTTATGAAATTCATGTGCAAGGAAACCTCATAGTTGGATTTCACAGAAGACATCAGCTTTGGAATTAATCTTAAAAATAAAATATCACTATGTCCTTTAGTGGAAACTTGAAAAAGGTTTCTACTTTACTGGTTTCTACTTCTTTACTAGAATTTCACTCTCTGAGTGTGGTAGTTGTAGCAGTTGTGAGCATGACAATGATCTCCTGGGAGCTCTGATTACAAAAATGGTGTTTTGTTCAGTTAGAGACAGAACTGAGTGTTTTTAGGAAATAATTTGCTTGGTTTTCTTGACCTGGTTCTCTAAGGAGATGAAATGAGGTGTTTCTTTGATAAGGTGTAACTTGATCTGCTTTTCTTGTCCCTGCCTGGTCCCAAAAGAATTCTTAGGCTGACATATCTAAATAACAGTCAGAGAGCTTCAGCTCAGGGCAGGCAGTGATTTTCTGCAGGTGATCCAGCTGTGGCACCAAACAGCAGAGCACAGCAGGGACATCTGGGGAAGAGGGAGAAGGTTTGGTTCTACCTGAGCCCGTGCTCAGCCCAGCCCAGCACTGCTGGCCCTGCGCCCTCCCGGAGCAGGCTGCAGATGGCAGCTGTGCGTGCTCACACAGCCCGGCAGCACCGGCTGAGCCCTGATGGCTTTTTAATGCTTACCTCGGTAATCCTCCAGCTAGAAAAAGTGCCGTTTGTAGTCATTTAAAGACAATTTTCTGCTGAAATTAAGATGCTTCTGTAATGTTGATGAATGTCTTGGTTCTTATCATTTCTGCTGTTGGAACAGTAATTAAATCAGCACTGGGGTGGTTTCAGCTCAGCTCTGTTCCTTTGCCCCCCACTCCTCCAGGAGGGTTACCTGATGTATTTTGTATTCATTCCAAGTTTATTCTTCACACTTGTGAGCCCCAAAACTAACACGGTTTTCCTTATGCATGTTTTGCTTTACATGATTTCATAGTTAGCAAGGTTTAATCAGAAATTAGCAGGAGTACAGAAGAAATTTTACATGGTTAGAACAAGTGTTATACTTGCAATAAAAAAAATACTCACATGGTGTGTATTCCTTGCTGGTTTAGGGAATACCATGAAAGGTAGCTGGTCTGTATAAAGGACTTCATTCAAAACTTCAGGAAATACTTCTTTCCATAAAAATCTACAAATAGTACCTCATGATTCTACGATAGACTGAAATAATAAACTACCCTTGATTTAAAAAAAGAGATGGTTACATATGAAAATAAATAGTATTTAAATGGCTTTCAAAACTTACATGTCTGTTTAAAAGAAATATTCTTCAGAATCACTTCTTTATGGCCTGTGATTTTGTTTGTTTATTTCTGCCTGTAAAAGGATAATAGCAGAACCCCGTGGTGGTAAGTACTGCAAAAGTACTTTTATAGCGATGGTGTGTGAGGAATGGCATTCAGTCAGCGTTAAAATTTCCTGCGTGCTCCCAGTGCCTTCTCATCACTAACCTGCTACTGCCAGGGGGATTTTCTACCTTTTTTTTGTGCATCCATGTGTTCCTTTTCAGGTTTCCTGATCTTCACCTGCCAAAAAGCAAAGGCCATCAGCTGCCCTTTTGCTCAAACTTCTCTGTGTCAATCATGACCAAACTCACGGTTTATTTTTTCTCTCCTTTTGTCTGCAGGAAGAACTTCCTCAGATAAAAGCTTTTTCCACACTTTCACCTATCCCAGGATTCACAAAATGGCTCGTTGGTCTCATCTCCTCCCAGACTAAAGAACAGGGAAGGAATGAACTTTTTACAGAGTCGGAATGGCAGGAAATCTCTGAGATCACGGGAGACTCCAGCAGCGAAACCCTGAAGAAGCTGTTGAACACCAACGAGTGGGTGAGGTCAGAGAAGCTGGTTCAGGTGCTGCGCTCCCCCCTGATGAGACTCTGTGCCTGGTACTTGTATGGGGAGAAGCACCGAGGCTACGCCCTCAACCCAGTGGCCAATTTCCACCTGCAGAACGGCTCAGTGCTCTGGAGGATAAACTGGATGGGGGACACCAGCCCCCGGGGCATCGGGGCCTCCTGTGGCATGATGGTCAACTACAGATATTTCCTGGAGGAGACAGCCTCCAACAGCGCCCTGTACCTGGGCTCCAAGCAGGTCAGAGCCTCCGAGCAGGTGCTGGCCTTGGTGTCCCAGTTCCAGCAGAACAGCAAGCTGTAGCTACCTACCAGGAGCACTCAGAGTGAATGATCCTGACTGCAAAGAGCTGTAATCATCTGCACTTCTTCACTTAAATCAGAATGTACCCCCTAGGACAAATGTGCTCCGAGTTCCCTGGGTTAGCAAGGTCTTGCTGACGTGGCTGTGTACTCAAACCTGTTTGAATCACCTCTGGTGTGTGCAGAGGGGCTGGAGTTGTGTTAATGGAGAGTAAAATCCTCTTCATCAGTTACAGCCCAGGGGTAGCTTGAATGGAAAATACCTGAGCCAACATCATTCTGTTGGTAATATAAATTGTATAAGCTGTCTTTGAAGGGAGCTGCACTTCTCTGTCAAAATGCTGCTATAGATTGTTCAGAACCAAAGTACCTGGAATAAAGGTAAATTTTGGGTCAAATATATTATCAAAACAGAAATCTGCAGTTTTATTTCTACAATATCTGTCTTCTGCACAAAAAAATCTCATGTAAAACTTCCTGGTATTTTCATTTTTCAAGCTAAAACTCACTGAATCCTTGCTTTGATGCAGTGTGGAAAAGCCTTGTACTAATCAAAAAAAAAATCAGGATCTCAGTACAGCAGGTATGTTATGTTATATTTGCACGTTTTGGCTGCTAAAATTTAATGAGCAATAAGGAAGCCTTCAAATAGGAGAAGAGAACAAGCCAGACTGTTATTTGGGAATCAGATGAGGAGTTTCTAATTATGTATATTATAGTTTGGCTCTAGTAATGTTTTAAGTTGATAAAGAGCTTTTTTGATAAAGAGGTAGGTGTGATTTATAAACGAATAAAACAGACTTTTCTCATTAAACAATGTGGATTTCAGCATCTCCCCTCTTTCACTTAGTTCACTTGTTACCTCCTTGATAACAGTTACTGCAGGACACTCCTGTTTTTAACAGTGACCAGGGGTAGGATCCATTCTCTTGGGCTTTCTAATCTTTCTCAAATGTATTAGAATTCAGGTTTCAAGGTGAAATTTATCTGCTTGTATAAACCATGCAAGCCATTCCTGGCTGGCAGGAACAGAGCAAGAAAGCTCTCCTTGTTCAGCTCTTCAGGTTTGAAGGAACCAGGTCACTTACTTCAAGTGAAGGAGTTCTGAAAATGCAGTGTTTTTGAAAGATGGTTTTATTTTGAAGCAGGAGGAGCTGTGAGGGCAATTAAATCTGCATCCTCCTGGCCATAGTTCAGAAAAAGCTAATGCTTCTGCTGTATTGCAGATGGAAATACAACATAATCCCATATTCTTAATAGCTGGACTCGAAGGATAATGAGTTTTTTCCACTTGGAGCCTCAGACAATTGTATGAGAATTGGTTCAGTGACATGAAATGATAGTAGCTTATGAGGGAGGAAGAGCAAAGCTGCTAACGCTTCGTTAACACTTCAGTTATTGCCCAGGCCTGCGTGGGACCTGCACAGAAAGATCTGGCACAGAAGCACAGCTCAAGGGAGGCAGGCTTCTCTCCATTTTCATTCCTACCAATCTTCAGGAGGATGGATGCTGGCATTGGGCCGTGGCAAACAAGTTCCCACCTGTGCCCTGTGGCCCCAGGACCGGTTTCTCAGCCGCTGACCCACGTGGTTGGGCAGTCTCCATCAGGTCTGTCCCTGCCGCCTCGTGCAGGTGCCACCTTTCTCTGGATGTTGAATTAACCAGTCACCAACGCATCAGCAGCCAGTTTAATCTGCTGGTATTCCCAGGAGTTGTGGTGTGGGGCTGAGGAGGAGGTTGCAAAGCTGCAGCAGCCTCTTCCTGGAGCTCTTGTGGGTGGGTACATTTGTTAGGTGACATCTGGTCTCCATCAGGACCGCAGCACCTGCAGAGCTGTTTCCTTTTCAGCAGTTGTGGTTGTTGGTTGTGTGGTGCTTTCTGAGGTCACATCATCTGTTCCATTGATAAGTTAGCAATGTGAGGCCAAAGCTCCTGCAGCGAGCTCTGTGTCACAATCACGGCACCAGTGTGAGTGCAGAAGGATCGTTTGGACGTGAAGGTGGGACAGGCTGCCCATAAAAGCCATCAGCTGCTAAGTGCTATTAGATTTTTTTGACTGGCCATTGATTTTGCCTTTTCTGATGGATTTTCCAGCTTGTTACTAAAGAGAGATTTTAGCATGAAAGATGCTGAGGAGAAAAAAATTAAATATTCACCATCTGCGCTACTTACCAGGACAATAACCATCCCTGGAGAGGATTGTACTCTCACGGGGAGTCTGCACAACACTGAAAGCAGAGAGACATCCAGTTCCTTTCTGTCCCTGTCAGTGCCACTGCAGTGCCATTTCTGAGGAGCAGGGGATGTGAAAGAACACCCTCTGTCAGAGCGTGGAGAGGAAAAAGGAGAGGCTGCTTTCCTCAGCGAGCAGTGGGAGCTGCTGTGCTGGAAGGGGCTGCATAGAAAAGCATCTCAGTTTCACAGCTGCATCCTGCCTCTGAAAGCAAATCAATAGAAATTATGTTGCTTTGTCACTTTGGCTTGTTTATGATCAACTCAGGCTGTTTTTCTCGTCCCAGGAGCGGAGCCTCCCGTAGTGCAGTTGTGTGGGGTTGAGTGGGACCTGTGCTCTGAGATGTGCCCTGGCTCTGCAATGAGAGAGAAAACAGCGCCTGGCTGGGGGCTGCTCACTTTTCAGCTCCCTTGCAGGTGCCTCTGAGCCATCCCAGAGTTCTGCTGAAATACAGGAGTGCTCGAAGCAGACAGACTTTCCACGTGTATCTCTGGAGTTGTTTTAGTTCTTGGGGAAAAGGGTGCAAAGGTGGAGATAGAGTAAGGTAAGGGCAGTGTGATTCCTCAGCCTCTTGTGATGCTGCTCCCCACTTCTGCTGCCTTGGGTACACATTTTGCAGCAGCAATCATATCTTGTGACACATCTTTTGCAAGAAAGAAGTTTTCACTTCTCATGAAAGCCTTGCTTCCCCTTTTCTTACACTGCCCGTAAACAATCACAAAGGTAACTAAACCTAAAAGCAGGTTAAAGCTTACAATAAACACAAACAAATGCAGATTCCTGTGGTTTTTTCTCCACGTGGCTGTTCCTGGAGGTGCCATAATTCCTGCAGGATGCATTAGCTCACTGCAACAATATTGAAAAGGTAGCATGATGTTTTTATATTATGTGTAATACTAATCAATATCCATCTCCTCCTCTTCATCATCTCTTAATTGTGGGCAGAATTAACAAAGATAATCTCTGGAAGGCAGAAGCTGTAGCTGAAAGAGAGAAATTAAGCAGTACCTGGTCAGATGATGAGGAAATAAAAGATATTCTGTTTCCATTTTAAGAAATGGCAAGAAAAAAGTAATTTTTGCTAAGTTGTTTAAGCTAATAGGCCTTTTTTGCTTTTTAAAGAATGAAAAGTAGGAAGGAAAATTAAAGTAACTCATTTACGGAAACAGATTTGCAAAATTCTCTGCTAAATGTGACTTTTAAACCAGACAATTCATTAACCCAGCTGCTGGGAATTAGATTGGAATTATTTACTGAGTCTTAACCAGAGTCAAAATTTGGGAGTGTTGAGGGGAGTGGTGGAGAAAGATTGAGAATTAAAATGACACGTTTCTGCCTAATTACAAAAGAAAAGGAAATGATGCCAGAACTTTAAATAGGGGGAAAAAAACCATTACATTGTTACAGTCTATACCTAAGATTATACTTAGATAGACTTCATGTTCCAGAACGGTATTTAAAATGCAATTTAAATATTTATGTTTGCTTAAATTTTTAAAATAAATGTTGTTGTGGTTTTTTTTCCAGAGAATATTCTCCTGATGAGATGGCCTTGAAATTTCATATTTTTACTGCAACTAAAGTTCTCCTAACAAGTTATGTTGGAGTTAAGAGGATGCCTTTAGGCAACGGATAAAGTTTTAATTGGATTTTTGAATAATCATCTTTTGAGTCCTACTCAAACTTCAGATTGCTTTTGAGACACATTTTGCACCGTAGATCTTTGATGTCACACTCAAAATGTGCAGGTCTCTGCTGTATTTGTGGCACAGCCACCCTGCAGTGGGACAGTGGTGGCTTTTTAGGGAGGGACCTTAGAAACCACCAGCTCCACCCCTGCCATGGGCAGGGTCACCTTCCACTCTCCCAGGCTGCTCCCAGCCCTGGCCTGGCACATTTCCAGGGCTCCAGGGGCAGCCACAGCTGCTCTGAGCAATAAACAGTTCTGGATTTTGCCCAGCTCTTTATTCTGTGTTTGAAGCACCCCAGGGTGGATTTTCTCTCCTGGATCCCCTGACAGCCCTGACTCTGATCCTCCTGCACCCCCAGATCCCTTCCTGGCGAGCAGCCTCTCTTACCCCAGGAAAATCCTGTGCCAGATCTGTGATTTTCAGCTCCTGTTGCTGATCTTACCCCAGCACTCTCCTTGCTCTGGTTTGGCTCCCACCCCCTCAAGCCCCTTTTCATCCCCCTGGTGACCTGGCAGGACTGGTGCCACAGGAGACAGCTTGCTCTCATCCAGGTGAAGTTGCCAGAGCTTTACCCTGCTCTGGGTGTCAGGGGCACAGCTGGAGAGGGAGCTCTCGCTCAGAGCCTGCAAGCCAAACAGTGAAGCACACTGGGGATGAAGAATTCGGCTGTCTGATTCTATTTCCCCCAAGCCTGTGCAAGCAAAGGCTTTCAGAGGCTTCAGATCAGGACAGATTTTTCCAGTTTCCACAAGAACCTGGTTATCTCCCAGCAGAGCACTGAGGGGAGGAGGTGCTCAAACACCTCTGTGAAGTTGCACTAACAGCAGAGCGCAGCGATGCCTGTAACTCCTAACTTCATCCTCAAAGGAATATCCAGGGTTTTTCTCCCTGCTGAAAATTGTTCCTAACCAAGGTAAGGAGGTGCACAGGAACTTCCAAGCTGAATGGAGGAAATTTTAAATTAATACCAGGCTAGCCTAACTCAGGACAGCTGTCCACTGCTTCTGTCCCACCTTTTCCCAAGCAGCCTGGGGAGGGGTTCTTGGCAGATCCACCATGGGAAAACACAGGTAATATTCGATGATGAGGAGCTGCTCTGTGAGGCAGAGCAGCAGAGGTGTATTTCTCTGTTTCTTAATATGCAGCTGATTCAGATAAGATCACTCAGAGAAACCATAAAGCCAATAAAATGTGGTGTTGTAAACTCCAGTTTCCCAGCTGGATCAGAAGCTGGGCGAGAGAGCCTTAACAGAATGAATGATGTAGGAGTGAAAGCTTTTAAAACAGAACAAGGCTATTCTCGCTGCTACACAGATTCATCATTTCTTTTCCTGAAGGAAATAATTCTGAGGATTTGAGTCTATTCAGTCTGACACAAGTGGCTGAGAAAGGGAGTATTGAAAGAGCAGGTTTTTGATATAAAATATATTGAAGTAAGGTATGTGAGAGCTTTTTCCCTGAAGTGCTCACTCCTACGCTTAGGCCATTGTTAATGTGATGAAATTTATTAATTAAGAGGAATTTATTCACTATGTTGGCATCTCTTTTGCTCTTTCTCTTCCTCCCTGGTACTGTGTCTCTGTATTCCATAGGCTTTGATGCATAGATAAAAGTAGGAGGTAAGAAAACATTCATGTTG